GCGCTGACGGGCCGCAGCGGGGATGTCTGCGCTTTTGTTCGCGGCACAGAAGGAAGAAGCTCGGAGAGCGCGGAGGCGCTGGAGAAAGCAGGTTCTGCGGCGGCCGGCGGTGGCGCTTTTGGCGCCGGCGGAGGCTTTGCGGGTGGCACAGGCGGAGGCGGGCAGTCTCCCGTTGGCAAAGCCCGCGCGCCCAGCTCCGCGGATGGCGGCCGCTCAAACCTCTCTGGAGAGGGAGATCTCTCGGCTGTGGGTTGCTCTTGCTCGCCGCCAAAGTCCTCCGAGGGTCTGGGCAGAGCTAAAAGAGCACTATGCAGCTCATCCACGGTTTCATCTCCCGGTCCCTTATCTTGTACAACGGAGGAACTTTCGGCATCAAAATTTCTCATCCCGGTTTCACTGTCCTCAGACTGGCTCTGTTTCAGCGCTTTAAAAAGCACTCCCCAGGTGGCTGCTAGGCTACACACGCTGATATCTCCGTTCATGAATTTTGACCGTAAATGGTTCTCTATTGACAGCCAAAGTTCGAGATCAAAGGCATTGTCCATAGTTATAACAAAACCTTGCTCTTTAACCCACTGAAATAAAGTACGCATGGCATCTTCAGAAACACTGAGTCCCATGCAGGGCAGGGCATCCTGCCATGCAAGGTAGGCCAGCTGTTCATCAGCTGAAGTACAGTCCTTCATTATGAGGACCTTATCTTGGCGGCTCCGCGAATGTAATCACACACACGCTAACGGCTCAGACCCGGGGATTTTGAGCTCTGCTTCGCCAAGACAGCCGTTCCAAACCCACTCACCAGCAGGCTCCACTATCCCGTTGGTTTCCAGAACCAGCTTCCTCTTGGAAAGCCCGGGAGAATTCCACTTACCCCTCTAGGGGGAAGGGCTGGCTTTTTCCCGCTCACTGCTTACCCTCAGGGGATTAGCAGATCACATCGGTTGCTTTCTGACCTCGGGGGTCGGCTGCAGTTCATGTCGGGTTACCGGACCTCAGGGGTCGGTGTAGCATCACGTCGGGCGGTCACCAGATGCCGTTCCGATTGGGAACGGCGATAAAGAACGACAATGGACTCTCAAGGGAGTCACAACACCAGAATTCCTAGTTTATTGCTTCAGCTCTGTCTTATAGACAGATACGTGGAAAAGTACAGAAAGGAAACTCTTATTGGTTAACAAAGTACTACACCACCATCATTGGTCAGGGGCACTTGCCCCCCCTGACTGTCTCCTGCAAGGAGAAACAACAGGTTGCAAAACAACACCTGCAAGGCTGTTTAGTATCTCTGAGAATTGTCTTAATTCCTTCTCATGAATTTCCCAGGCTAGCTTCAGTCAGGCCTGAGAGCTATGTGGCCTGTAATAACTACAGGCACTCTGGTTCAGATTTAGCATCCACACCCTGGAAGGCAGAAAACGGCACAAAGAGCCTCATCAAGGGGGAGAACAACCTCTCCCAGGACTGACTGACACAGTCGTCATATTGCCCCAGCACCCTGTGAGGAGATGTCGGCCCTTGAGATGAGGCTGCTCCGGCACACCCTCCTCTCACAGCCTTTTGCAGTCTCCTTGGCCATCCCTCGCTGACGAGGCCCTCGCTCACGAGGCCCTCAGGCCCATGGCCACGGGGACTGTGGGGGGCATCCCGGCCATGGGGCACAAATGTCAGAGGCAGTGGGGAGAAGGGGGGCTCACCTGGCCAGCAGACCCACGGCATAGTGGTGGGTGTCAGCACAGAGCAGCGTGTCCCAGCCACGCTTGCGTTCCATTGCCACCGTTCCATTGCCACCACCACATGCTCCAAGTGGAGACTGCAGGGCAGGGCCTTCAGGGTCTGCACTGCAAACCTGTGTGCACAGCAAAGCCCAGGTGACACTGGGAGCGCTGGCTCCAAGGCTGGGGAAGTGTCAGGGACAGGAGGACTGGCATGGAGCACCTGTTGGGGCTGGTGGAGAGGCCGTGTTGCTCCTGGCATTCCTTCCAGAGGGTACGGACGTCACAGGGGAAGCAGCGGGCCTGGTGGCCCTGAAGCTGCCCCTAGGCCAGGTTTGTGCCCAGTGCCTGAAGCAGGGAGATGCAGTGGGGGAAGGAGGCAACAGAGCTGCTGGAGAGGCGGCTGGCCTTGTGGTGAGCAAAGGCCAGCTCCCGAAACTCACAGTCAGGGAAAAGACAGCCGTCTTGTCCCCATCAGAGGTGCCCAGGTTTTTCTGCGGCCAGCTCCCCACCACATTGATGAGGAGCGGTGTCACTTCCTCTGAAATCCAGGGCGAGAGCAAGATGGTCGTCCACATGGCCATAGCAGCTCTGCGGGGTCAGACACAGCACCGTGGGCTGGGCAGCAGCAGGGAGCTGAGCTGGCCGCCAGCTCTGCCTGTGCCCACTGGCCCTGAGCGGCAGCAGCAGCCAGGCAGCCCAGCCCTGTGGGGACAGGCCCCTGAGGGGCAGGATGGCAGCACGGCAGCGGGCTCGGGGGCCAACTTTGTAGCAGGGCTGGCAAAGGGAGCAGCCAGAGGGCCCTGCAAGTCTGTGTTGCTCACAGCCCTGGGCCAGGCTGTACAGGGGGATGGGCTGGGGAGCCCTGAGCCCTCGGGGCAGCTGGGCCCCATACCTGTCACACGTTGGGGCCACCCGCAGGAGAGTGATGGCCACATCATCGGGCTCTGCCTCGGCCACTTGCATCAGGGCCCAGTCCATCCTGTGCTCAGCAGC